AATTTGCGCAACATGTTCAAATAGCCATAAATTATGGTAGACGATTGAGATAGAAACAATTACATATATTTTCTGGTTAATAAATTGCATTATTTAAATTTAATAAAGGATAAATAAATTAAACTAGTTGGCAATTATATATTATATATAAAAATGTAACTATGAATTACCTATAAAAGGTATTAAAGCAGAAAGAATGTTTTTAATGGAATTTTTTTTGGAGGAAACTTTGAACTTAATGTTATCATTAGGAAAAACCACAACTAAAGAACTACAATCATGGTTGTTATTCATGAAATCATATAAGAACATGTTTGTTGATTGTTCAAAATAAAAATATAATCAATGGTGAATGCACATATATGTTGTCACATATTGGGTATCTATTTGTAGTTAAGTATAGGTACATAATATTATGGAGGTAGAGATGTCGGACGACAGCGCCACAAGAGCATGGCCCGAAGGTGCACATTTTAACTTTAATAATAGTTATAATATTATTATGATATACTATGTAGATCCGGTCACTGTTCTGCGCCAACTGGAATACTGGATACATCAATAGTTTTTAATGAGCTGAAATATGCAGGCCCGACAAAAATCAAGTTGGAAAGTCGTGATTTCACCTCAGGCATTGCAGTGCATATGACTTCAACTGGTGATACACCCGTCATCGCGGATTTGAACTAAAACGAACCCGCCGTTGCACCTGGCCAAGATGTTATTATCGACGACATCTACATAATATTAATATATTTACACGTCATGTCCCGTCTTCTGCCTTGACCAAGTGTGCGTCCAAGTGTCAGCCATGTCGCTATGTCGCTACAGCCGTTTTTTTATAGCATCACGTATTATTTTATTAATTACACTGACGGTTTATGGCCGTTTTTGTTATATGTCCGCCTTAGCCGTAAGTGTCATTTTAATTTCAATGTGCATTCTTATTTTATTGTGGCACATTCCGCCTTGAGCGTCACTGTAGTGCTCCCGTCGAATTTATACATTTTATTAGCTTGTATGTGGTATGTTATGTTTGTTTGCGTTCCGTATCGCTGTGTTCTTGCACACCGTTCTTATACAATGACAAGTTATCCGCCCTTTTCCGTCCACGCATCCTGTATACCATGGTTTAGTGGTATACTACTGTCGTTTTACGTTTTCGTCCTTTGTCGAGTCGGTGACGGTGTAACAGGATAGTCATGGTATCGGCCCACTGAGTTTCATTAAATTATATATTTATATACTTATGTTTGTACTCATTTCTTATTATTATAAAAAAAAAAAGGTTGCCACATAACACTCATAACTGGCCCATATTTTGAGTGGCCCACCGAGATTTCCTCGGCAGCTTGCCGATTCGACCATTGCCTGAATTGTTGAATGTCATACAATATATTCTTCTGATGTAAGCCAGGCGTTTTGTTTCATTCGATGGTGTCAGCCTTATATCTGCCCTCGTATCACGATACATATTGTTACATACAACATATTACATTTAATTATTTAAATATTGGTTAGTGGTTACATAAACGATACACAAATTATTATATTACTACGAGACATTCCTTGCTCATGCGACGAACCTCGCGTTTTTGTTATCATATTTTTGAGGGCCACACTACACGCTCTTTGCCGACCGCGATTGGATGACCGTGTTATTATATATTTATAATAGGTATTAAAATAGTGATCCATCCGACGTTAGATTATAATATAATATCTCATATGCAGTAGGAAGTGCAATCTTGCATTATTTACGCTTGATCCTATTCTGTGTATTACAACGTGCCTTAGGTAAAAGCGGATCCAAGTCCCTCACCAGCATAGGCGTAACTTGGACTCTATTCATGTGGGGGCAAAAATAATTTTTGAGAATCTCTACACATTTTCATAATCTTATTTAAATTTAATATATATTATAAAACTGTTTTATCATTTTCACCACCATTTTTCATTTAACTCATTTTAAGCAAATATTTTTTTATAAACCTATACTATAAGTTTTATACCAAACAATAATACAATTACTACTTTCTTTTTAAACCATAATTAATATTCATAATTATATAAAAATTAAAAAGAAACTTTGTAGAAAACAACTTGTTTTAAGTTTTTATATTTTTTTTGTGGGTTTCTGTCATCACGGTTTCGGGCAGTGAAAGTTCTACTTGGGTAGGTACTACATCTATAATTAGTATTTAAATAAAATGTAAAAGTGTATGGATTTTAAATTTACAAGCACTTATTATTTGTTGTTATTGTACAATATTGTTATATTAAAATATATTCCTATAAAATATATAATATAATATATTATATTATGTATATGTTACGGTCAGAGTGTACAATTGGGCGTTGTAGTACAATGCCAAATTTCAATGAACAATGAGGACAATTATACACTTTTCCCAGGCATTGCACAGAATGACCAGAGCACAATGGGTGAGCAATTACAATGGTATAAAACAATTTTTGTTATCTTAATAATTTACAATAATTTTTTTATGAATATTAACTATTTTTTTAATTTTATTTTTGCAACTAAAGTTATCATGACATTTAGAAGTACATAGTTAACCTGCAGCCTTATACTTACATTTATTTGTGTTGCGCCGTTACCGATCCTACAACGATCGGCGGTTGTCGGCAACGACTCTCGTGTTATGTTGTAGATAGGAGCGGAATGGGTTACCCAAATATGTGCGAAATAATAACACGTCAGATAGGTAATTCTAAAGTGCATATGACACCGATCGACAGTATATATTATACAATACAAACATCAAATTAAATAATAATAATAAATGAACTGGTATAGGGCACCCAGGAATAATTATCAATACACACACACATATATTATATCATAACAATATCGGTCCACAACATAGTATAGAACTATACAAAAGACAATGATGTATAAAAATAATAAAGACGACCTGGTTCATTGCAACTTGGCTGACGATGCCCGTAGCCTGGTAGATGGCAGATTCCGGTGTGTCGTCACAAAGAAACAGCACGCAATAACGTTGGGCGGACAGATACGTTTGTCGGGCCCAACCATTGGCAAAAGACAAGAGCGGAAACCTTGTCGGTCAACGGTCTGGCTATCGCCAGACGAACTGTCACCGGACACTGGAGGGGGGAACTTGCTAGGGGCGCTTTTATCCCCGCTACCCCGTGATGTCCGAAGAAAAATGTATATATATATATGGCCGAATCGCTCCACGCTCGAACAATTTGTCTTGCATTGCTGTATACAGTTACACCGGTCATATCCTTGACCGCCAAGATTTGAAAATTTTCTATATAGGCATTTTGAACGTTTGTGTGTTAATGGTTTAAGTAAAACATATTTCGTTATAATATATACATAGTGTTTACAAATTATATTAGAAATAGTGGATGGCATCGACTTCATTCGAAAAGAAGCCGGGCACCTTCTTCCTATCTGCTATAACACGGATGGGTACTGGGTAGGTTAGCAGTATCCATCCGGTCCAACAATCTATGATTAGCAGCCAAGTCAGTAAAAATATCTTCAGTATCAATATTATACACTAGTGAATCTATAAAAGTAATTATATTAAATTAATATAATATATGCATGAGAACATTTTTAATATATTTACCTGTATCAGTATCAGTGTTGCAAAGTATTTGAATATAAGTATTCAAATACTTTTTTCCGTATTGAATACTGTTTAAAATACTTTTATTTTTTGAAGTATTTGAACGGTATTTTAAATACATTTTTTTACTATTGAATATTATTTTATTGAATACTTTTTTCTATTCCTTTATTTCTTTATTCCTTGGTAAATAATCATAATGTCATTATAATGATGTATATATTTATTATTTATGAACAATTCGATAGCGAATTTGGTCTTCGTCTTTAGTTTATATATAATTAATTAATTAAATATCTTTAGCTTAACTAAATATTTTTTACTCCGGGAAACCGTTTGTTTATCGTCGACGAAGATCGCAAAGGTACGTTATCGTTACCTACCATTTATACCAACATGTATTATAGTGAAATATTATACGAATCTTAGCTATGTCGTACCTGTACGGCTGTACGTGTGTACTGTGGGACGACTACGAATTGGTTCCCGGGTTGTCTACAGGTAACATACGAATTGGTTCCCGCAAGCTTTTGTGTTAATACAGTCTTGTTAAATTAACTTTTCAAATTATTATGATATATTCAAATCCAACCATCAACAATTTCCTTCCCATTTATTCAGACTTAGGACTGTCTAGGACTGTCTATTTTTTTTGATTTTAATTTAAGTGAGCTTATTTCTTTGCTTTATATATGTTTCGCATTGCACATTTGCACCGCTTTTAATTGTTCAATCAATAAAAAAATATTTGTGGGGTGGGTGGAATAAAATCTAGAATTCAGTTTTCCATGAAACGATTCGCAACGGTTTGTTGTTCGTTCTGAAGTGGCTGAAAAATCTGCCCAAATTGTTGGTAAAAAATCACTATCATTTTCAATATTATTTTCAAGTACATAATCAAAAAATGTATCAAGTTTTTCATGTACAGGTTTTATAGCCATCAACTCAACATAAAAGTTTTGTATTATATCAGGAGACAATAAAGGTAATCCGATAAAAACTTATAAGTTATAAGTAATTTTATTCGCGAACAAATTCGAACAATTGTATCCTGGAATGTGTTTTTTTTCGGGAACCAATTGTGTACGGAGACAACATAATATGTGGGTGCGACCTATTCTTTTAAAAGCTATAAATATAATATAAAACATAAACATTGATATTGACTGATAACTGATTCTGCTATAAATAAATGGATATGACTATATTGCCTGTTAATATAGTACCATAATAATATGTGGAATTAGGTATTATTTTGTTTTCATAATTATATTAGAAAATAATATTATTCTTGTGTGTACGGACTACGAATGACCAATTGCCAATTATTATTTGTTATTTGCACTATCAGTTATACACTATTACAATATTGCATATATAGCCCCCCCACGCTGTTTTACACTATTGTAATATTTATTACTCGGGTTCGTATCATTCGTATCGTGTTCGCTGTTGTCTGCTTGACGTCCCTACTTCCTACAGATTGTTAATAATTGTATTGCATCAACCGTATACTCTTGTTTTCATTGTTTAAATTGTAATACAATGAGTGATTGTGATTTTTCAACCGAAGTCGATCACGTTGCAGATTTAGAAGAACCAATTTTACCCAGGCCAAATTATCAAAAATATTTTTAAGTATTAAGAGTCATTGAGGATAATTTTTTTTTACAAGAAGCTGAAAGTGAAGTGCTTAAGTCGTGTCGATACAAGGTGGATTCACGTTCAAACTCTAATATAAGAAAACATTTAAGCGTAGATAAGTACAATGTTAATTTCATACCTGCCTATAGCCTATGACAGTTGACCCATCTAATATCTTGTGTGTTGAATTAATTTTAAATATTACAAAAATACATCAAAAACAGTGGCGCACAGTTTTTTAAAAGTCAAATTTCAAGTGCTTAAGATGTATAATAGATCTCATTATTCTATATTATAAATTTTCCTGGGCCCCACACGAGTCATCTCAGAGGGGCCCAGTATTCTTGTGTATATGAAATAAAATAAAATAAATAACCCCTTCCCCCCTCAAAAGTAAATCCCAGTTGCGCCACTTATCAAAAAATGTAAATTATTTATCAAAACTTATAATGTTAAGTAAAAGGTTATATTATTTCATTTTATTCAGACACAACATTCAACTATATTAAAGAAAATTGATTACGTTGATAATGCAGCGAACAAAAACACTTTAAAGAGATGCAATGATGGATCATTGAAGCATAATGCTGGTAGTTCTTTAAAACAATCACATAAAAACAACCAGTTTTATAAGATTTTTTGAACAGCAAAAGATTAACTAGTCAAAGTAAGAATGTGTACTGTTTATTTTTATTTTTTGTTTTATTAAATAGTTTTTAGTTGCAGCATTAACAAAAGTAGTTGATATTTACATGACTACATGACTATATACTGATACATCGCTAGTGAATAACACGGTTGTTGATGATTTAGAATGAATCGACGCAATCAACTTGTACATTCTTAATGATGAAGATCATGATTTGCAATATGCACTACCAAAACACCACCGATGTTGTGCACACACAATAAATTTAATAGCAACAATGGTAATTAAACATTTATTTAAGTAGATAACCTAATATAGTTAAATTATAAAATACTTTTTTTTTTGTTCTTTATTTGAGTTAAACAATCTATACAAATTATGTATAATAATCTTAAGTGTTAACAATTAAGGTTACAGCCAGAAGACATGAAGGAGAAGCCGCCCACTGGCAACACTTCAGGTCAGTATCGTAAGGTTAAATTATAAAATACTAAAATTATTTTTATCAAAAAGATTATATTTTGAGTAAGTATAGTGATCAAAACTATTAGATAGTAGGTTTAACACTTAATAATCATAATCAAATTTGTATGAATTGCAATATATTTAAAAGTTAAATTTTTCTTTCAATTTAAATGATAAAAATATATGAAAAAAAATATTCTAAGTTATAAGTATGAATATAATTGGCATTAACTATTTTCTATGATCTATATCCAAATTTCAATTTTAAATATCAATATATTATGTTGGTTTAATTTTTTATTATTAATTACACATTTGTACAAATTAAATACAAAATAATATAATTATTTGTATAACTTGTTTTTTTCTAGGAATCTAAAAAAGCTTTGTCTAATCTTGCATACAAAAAACAGTCGAGAAGAACTTTTGCCAAGTCTACCGCTTTGTGAATCAAACAAGGTCGCTCAACTAAGTCATCTGATTTATTTAAACAAAATCTTGGAGTTTATTTAATTACACCCAACGAGACACATTGTAATTCACTGTATGATGCAGTGGTGCTGCTTATTAAATTAATTAAAAATAATGAACTTATGTTTAGAATAATAATAGACTAATTGGCTATTGGCAGGTAAATTGTAAATCCTAAAATATTATTAATTATTTTATCTAAATTTTTTATGAATATTTCTAGGTTTAATAGAAGTGATATTGATTTCATGTGTCAATATCAAACAATTATGGGGCCAATTTCAATAAGCTTAGATTTACTCCAGGGTGATACTAACATGTACTTTGGTCATCTCCTATCTACAATTGAAGTATTAATTTATAAATATGAATTTATGACAAGTGATCAAACAGTTTCTAATTACCAATATGAAACTTCTGGTGACTGCCATACTTAATGGTATGTAATAATTAATTTTTTTTAAATACATTAATCTTATTTAGCCAAGTACATGCTTAAATTGTACACATTTAATTTCTTTTCATTTGAGTTGTTTTTGGTTTACTTTATTGGTAAATACTATTTACTAAGTACTAAATATATAGTGTCTCTTAGTTCTTACAGTCTTACTGATTTATAATGTAAAATTTTAATCAGCTGATCTATTATTTATATTTATATTTCTGCGTAGTAGTACCTACATTTATATACTCATGAGCTAAAATAAACAAACTTAATTGATAATAATTTTTTTTTTAGGTATAAAAACTAGGTGTGCTGATTATTTGATTGACAAATCTTTAACTACTGCTGCAGTCTACCACCCACTATTTAAAAAAGCATGGATTGCAAATGATATAAAAAAGCAATTGGTCTCTGAATATTTAAAAAGTCCTTTTATGACTTACATACCAGTGATGATGACAATAATGATGTAGAAGATAATCAAATGAAAGATAATTTATTTACCTTTTTTACAGGGTCACAAAATTCCCGAGAGGAAAAATCAACAATTAGTGATGAAATAGATATATTTAGATTTCCAACAGAGACTTAAGAATTTTTGTATAATTCACCCACTATCAAAAAAGTAAGATTAGTTGAAAACTTTTTATACTATTAGTAGTAATATTACAAAAACATTTGTACTTAGTTTTCAGGTATTTGTGAAGTACAACACTCCACTACCTAGCAGTGCATCAGTAAAGAGAGTGTTTAGTGTTGGTGGTGCAACAATTACAAAAAAAAGAACAAATATGACGGATCAGGAATTTGAACAAATAATGTTCTCAAAATGCAACACTCAAATGTTTGATTAATATAATATATTATGAATGATTCAGAATTAAATTGATTTTTTTGTTTTGTATTTGAAAATTATTTCAAATATTTTCACTATAGATAGTATTTGGGTGGTATTTTAGATACTTTATTTTATAAGTATTTGAGTAATTACTCAAATACTTTTTAAAAGTATTTGAGTAATTACTCAAATACTTTTTAAAAGTATTTTTTTACAACACTGATTAAATTTCTTTTCATTTGAGTTGTTTCTGATTCAGTATACATAAACCTTATCTTGTTCCCACATAGTGTCTCTGAATCACATTGTAGTGATAGTCATACATTATTGTCTTTAAGACATCGAGCACACAAAATCCTAAACAAAATATAATAAATGTGTTAGTAAATGTTGAACATAAAAATGTTAAGTATATTTACCAATATAGATAGGTTTATCAAATTTAATAATCTTGTTCTCTTGATTGACTGCGTTAGGTTATCAGTTATTACTGTAATTGGTACTGAGTTTAAAAGTGGACTTATAAATTATCTTCTTGTATAGCTCATTGTAGGTAAACAAGGGAGAAAATAATAATAAAAAAAAATATCACAGTATACTATGTAATATTATGTAGGTTTTTGCATTTGTTAGGAATCTATGAATTTATTTTTGAAGTCTATAAAATTAATATAGTATTTTATGGTTTTCAGTTCAAACCGGTCTTCTATTGTTCATATTTATACCAATTGTTTAGAGCCATGCCAGCACATGAACAATATTCTTGCAGATTTAGTTATAGGAGACAACTTCCAGATAACATATATAATAAAAGTTATTATTTGTACGAAGAAAAGTGTCAAGCTGAAGACTTTGCTTAAATATCATTAAAATATAATGTAGGTATCTGCTGTATAAAAATTAATACTGTTTTGTAATGGTGTTAAGTTAATGTATTAGATGGTGCTGATCCAATACAACTAAATACAAAAAAATCCAAGCACTTTAAGTACTTTTAAATTGACTAATAGCTAAAATGTAGAAATATTTTATTTATTGTTTATTAACATGTTTAGCTAAATAAAGGTTACAAAACAAGTTAAAAAACTATAAGTCAGGTATTAAACTTCTTATAAAAAAAAAACATTGATAATTTCTACTTATTATCATTCATTTACATTAGAGTCAATCACTGTTTTTGATAAAATATACCAACAAATTTTTGGTTTTATTTTCTTTAAGCCAAGTATTCAAACGTCATTTGTTTTTTTTTTTTTTGAAATATTTGTCTTCAAGTTAGATAAAGGTATTCATCTCGTTAATAACAATTAACTTCAGCTACTTTTGACAGTTGATGTATAAAAACTTACTATTTTATAAAACTAAATTATACAATAATCCCACAAATAAATAAATATTACAAATAACACATTATAGTTTAACCGTTAAGACTAAAAACAATATTGCTAGATGCCGGTCGTAAAAATTGACTCGCGACAGTAGTGTATCTAAAACTCTAAATGGCCTATACTCAGAGTGCCGTGTTCTGCATTGTATACATTTAAACACTCCCAATAATATTCTGTTTCGGAATTTGAAATAAAAAATGTATCGTGTAATCCAAATAATTCAATAACTCGAAAACTGATGACAACATATTATATTATAATACCTATCATCTATGGCAAAAGCCGATCGTCGTCACTCACCGGAGACGATTCGCAATTCTAATAATTTCATTGAACAAAAGAGAAATGTGTATGGCAACTATAAACATTTACTCACTTATTTCATTCTACTCAAGTAATTTTTATAAAAAATCTCGATTTTTTTCAATTTGGATTTAGATAAAGGAAGAAGTTACTCGATATGGCGTCTGCACTCAAGATATGGCGCCTTGCAGCTATATATTAGGTACCCGGACAGTCGATGTATACGTAAGTTTGATTACTTATTCTTTTGGGGCTTAAATATTTTACTTTTTAGTTTCAAAATTAAAATTTGATTTGCTACTCGTGTGAAGTAGGGGCATATTTTTTGTTCCCGAGCGCGCAACACAAAAAAATACGATATCACAAACGACGACGGCATATCCATATCCAGGTCGCAGAATAATAACATATTTATAAAATTAAATAGATATAAATAGTGTTGTACATACTAGTCATATTACAGTAGTACACGGGAGTTTTTATGTCCTGCAAAATTCAACAATTTTTATTTTTAGTTTATATAAATGTTAAATAATATATGAATATTACTATGCCGTCTGCTTGTGGTCGAACCGCGAATTAAAGTAACGTCGTCGTACATCAAACATCAAATTATGTTATAATGCTGGGAAAGTCACTCTGCTGATTATTGAATATCCATCGGAAATTAAATAAGGACATTTTAAAATTTAAATATTCTCGAATAGCTTAATGTATACCTAACCAATGCACTCAAAATGATTACATAAAATATTAATTATTAATTTCGTGCTCGACAGTATTCAGAGAAAAGATTTAACTTGGAATTTTACAAATTATAGTTGGTTAGTCGGTAAATGTGATGTGATGTATAAGACACTGAATACCTATTTATGTTAAATCTAATGAGTAGTAATCACATTTATTTACAATAATATTTGTATTTACTAACTCATAAAAAAAATGCTTGTGCTTCGAATATTTTAACACCACCTTTATCAATTATTAAATTAAAAATTAAAATAATAGGTACTTTATAAATTGTTGTAATTTAAATTTGAAAATTGTAAACTATTTTGGTTATTGTTATATCTCATTTCATTATCTTAATGATCAAATCTCAAATACGGACCTCTTTGATATAAAAATTTGTAATATAATATCTATCTATGATTTTATCATATTGACGTAGTTTAAATTATAATGCAATCCGTGGCGATTGTCTCAGTAGTTGCAAACACGTAATCGATCTAAAATTTCAGTTAGCAAAACCAAACTTAAGTTCAGTCATAGCCCATAGGTATCTGATTTATATTCTGTGGTGCACACACAATAATCAGGGATTCCGCCGAAGCCCGGAAGCGTCGATGTTTAAAGTAATTAATTTTGGTTTCATATTTTTTTGGTGGTTAAATTTACTTTTTATACTTCAAATAAAAATTTAATTTCATGAAAAATATGCTACCCCTATGTAGACACATATTTTATTTCTGAGAGTAAATGCATACACTACGAGAGATCGAGTAATATACAAGTGCCGCTCGTCGTCGTCGTTTTTCTGTTCCCTGATCGTAGGGTAATTTAATAATTATAACTTATTTTTAAATATTTGAAATAGACATATATTATAGGGTTTAATTTAGAATTACCCGTTATAAGTGATTACTCATAAGACACAATTTTAATTTAGAATTTGTAATTTTTTTTAAATCCAAAGTTAGCCGTTGCAGGACACTATTTAATCATTATATAATATTGTGTAATATATATACAGGCGTTCAAATATCCTAAAATTTTGTAGTTATTCAAACCTAGGTGTGTACGAGTTAAAAAATTAAAGTTATTTCAATGTTAACCCTTAAACTTCTTTAAGATTTCGAGCGGAGCGATGAGTGTATTGATTTTGCAATTTATTTTTAAAATTTTTTTTGTTCCGGTCTTTAAGTTATTTTGGGAGAGTAAAAGTGCTTTGATTTTCTTCAACAGCATCTTTTCTGTTAGAAATGTAAATAGTATTGTTAGTTCGAGGGGTCCAAATAAAAAAATTCTCTATAGTTTTCAAAAGCGGCAGGAAAAACAAACAAAAAATTAAGGAAAAAAGTGAATTTTTACAGAAACCCGGTTTCGTCCAAATCGATTTTGATGTTTGATGTAACTCTCAAAAAAAAAAATACCGTGGATATACATGAAATTTTTACTGAATATTTACTACGGCGTTTTCTGTAAATCATACAATTTTGACAATACATTTTTATAAGCGTTTGAATTTTGTTTTTTGACAAAATAAGTATAAGTCACGAAAATGTGCAAAATATTTTGAGTTAGAAATTCATAAAATTTTTTCGTTTTATATCTAAGTTTTTAAAACTTAATACAAGATTCCTTATAAGTGTGTCTACCTTTATCAAAAAAAAAAAAAAAATTCTACATAAAAGTCAAATTAAATTTTTATGAGCATTTGAAGTTGACATTTTGACAACATTGAATATTCACTCCATTTCTCATATAGTAATTTTTGTAACTGGAAATCCAATAATTGCATATATTTGAAATTCACACCATTTGTTTATATTTTCAATTCATATACTTTTGATGTACTCGTTTTAAGCTGTTTACAAACAATTTGAATTTTGAATTTTTTAGTTTATTTAGTTTTGTTTTTATAAATTGTTAATAAAATATGGGGAAAAATACAACAATTATTCATAAACACGAAGCGTTGAGTTATGGATAATTGTTGTATTTTTCCCCATACTCTCACCAGTCTTCACTAACAACGACTCAAAATCTGCATATATAACAAATGGATGTCTAACTGTATTTTTCCACAACTTAAATTCAATGCAATCCCTCTCTTTCGGCATATCCGGTAATATCGGTTTGTGCATCCCGCAAACCAATTTATGTTGATCCAACGCAGTCTGTCCATACATTTTAAATTTTAAATTTTGATTGTCAAAATTTGTAAAACATCTCTTACAAAACACTGCACGTCCATTGTGTCTAGTTTTTTGACTTCTTATGAGACGGGAAAAATTTGATATGTAAACATAATGAGAGTTATCACCATCTGTTATCAATAAGAGATCAAAATGATTGGTTTTTTCTTCCTCGACTACACGTAACGGATACACTTCATACGTCGGATATTTCTTCGGTGATGGTTGAAACTTTTTTTCGATCCCATAAACATTTACGCTCACGTTCAAGTTATTTCTCTCGAATTTGGATATATCAGATAGAGGTGTCGGGAAGGTGATATCTTTGAAATTATATTTATCTTCATGCTGTTTGTAATTATTACCCTCGATACGGCATACTGTCGACCCCGTCACATGTCTCGCGAGAATCGCGTACATGAAACATTTTTGATCTGC